CCCGCCCTTCACTACCCCAAGGTGTCTCAGAGCGGCTTACAAACTCCTTTCCTTTCCCCTCCCCACAACAGACACCCTGTGAGGTCGGCAGGGCTGACAGAGCTCTGACAGAAACGGCTCTTTTTCAAGAACAGCTCTTATCAGAACTGTGGCTTGCCCAAAGTCATCCAGAAGCTGAAAGTGGAGGAGTGGGGAATCAAACCCAGTGCTCCCAGATCAGAGTCCGCGCACTTAACCACGACACCAAACTGGCACCAAACTGCACAGGAGGGTGACTGTGTTCAGGAAGGCTCTATTCTTAATTTCCCTCAAGTTAGTGACAGAATAGGGTTGCCAGGTCCCCACAGATCACCAGCAGGGGATTGGGGGGGGGGGGCATAGGGTTGCCAGATCCAGGTTGGGAAACTCCTGGAGATCCAAGGATGGAGGCTGGGGAGGGCAGGGGCGTCAGTGGCATCCAAGGCCACACAGTCCGCCCTCCAGAGCCTCCATCTTCTCTGTGGCAACTGACCTCTGCAGTCTGGAGATGAGCTCTAACTCCAGGGGATCTCCAGGTCCCACCTGGAGACTGGCACCAATGCTTCCTCGAAGCTGTGGGGTCTTGTGAGCAGTGTTCCCTCTAAGCTGAGTAAGTGTGAGCTAGCTCACAGTTTTTTAGCCTTGAGCTCACAGATTTTTGTCTTAGCTCAGGAAGGAGGGCTCCAGAGCAATCTAATTTATGCAGCAGCCAAATCACCCGCTCACAATTTTAATGCCAGTCGCTCACGAATTAGAATTTTTGCTCACAAGACTCCACAGCTTAGAGGGAACACTGCTTGTGAGCAAAAATTCCACCTTGCGAATTAAAGTTGTGAGCGAGCAATTTGGCTGCTGCATCGATTAGTTTGCTCCGGAGCCCTCCTGCCTGAGCGAAGGCAAAAAATGCGTGAGCTAAAAAACTGTGCGCTGGCCCACACTAAACTCAGCGTAGAGGGACACACTGCCTGGCGCCCCTACGACGGGCAGACACACGAAGCTCTCATCCGTCTTCAAGCGGGAGTTCCCAGATTATGGTCGCCGAAAGCCCGTCCCCCAAAGCAGCCAGATTGCAAAAGAGACGGTGGAAGGACGCCCCTCCCTCCCTCCCGCTTTTCTCTTCTTCTCCTCCCGAGGCCAGAGACCACCAAGGGGAAGAGGAGGATTGCGGCCCTCCCCTCCCCACGGGACGCGGGTCAAGCCGGGCCCGAACGTGAGAGCCCCGAAACCTCCCTCCATCCCCACAGGCGGGG